AGTGCGGCTGATGCCCTGTCCAAACGCCTGAAAGACGCTGTTGAAAAGACCTACTTCGCGGCTCGCCTACGTATAGTATTTTATAACAAGCCTTTATTCGCAAAACCTTTGAAAGACAGGCTGCCTCCGGTGACTCGATCAATGCTTGTTTATCTTTACTCGTGCTCCTGTGGGGCACGATACGTGGGTCGTACCACGGGGCGCCTATCCCATAGGATTCGCGAACACATCCCAAAGTGGTTTTACAGAGGTGAAGCGAGGTCCAGCAACAGTTCCATCTTGTCTCACCTTCTAGAGTGCAGCCACGCAGGGACGGAAAATGATTTTAGAGTCATCTATACTGTTCCTGAACGTTTCACGCGCGGATTCCGGATACATCTTCTGTCTATTGCGGAAGTTATCTACATCCGCTACCTCAAGCCAGAATTGTGCGTACAAAAACAGTTTGTACGTCCTTTGCTTCTACCGTGGCCCACAACTTCGGCTATGATTTCCCCTGTACACACTTGCCACTTCCAATGACCCCGTGATTTATTGATTTGTACCCGTGAAATTAAACATTATGTTCAATACGCAGCCCAATCCGGCACTTTCTCCTCATCATGTAATGTTTGAGTCCGATGAGAATTACCGAAAGGAATTGTTTACTCAGGTTCTGCCTCCCTTGATTCATTCTAATAAACAGTACGAACCCCAAATGGAGCCCACGGAGCAAGTGCTTCAGAAGCGATACACAACTGACCACAGCCGTGCACGATCACAACAAGGATATCACTTGGTTGCTTGTATGGCGCTCGAAACCCGGTGCAGCGCGAACAGAGGCCAAACAAAATCAGAAGCTCAAAGTCACTGTGAGATCGAACAAATACGCAAGTGCTCAGTTTCTGTGCGTGGACAAGGCTTGCGTGGAATCACAGGGACGAGGGCCAATGCGATACGCAAGATGGTTAATGGTGCAGGTGACATGAAGCAGTCAGAATAGCACCTGACCAAAACGAGCCGTATGTGGCTAAAAGACGAACTGTCCGGTACGAACGGTAGACGACTAAGTTGAATCAGATTACTTTTACGATTCCTTGTTGATCAATTGGTTAAAAGTCGCTTTACGATATTCATACTACCAACGGTCACCTGGGGTTAGCTTTGGCCATGCGCCAGGCTGACTGCCTCCTTGACATGTAGCTACACTTGATTGCGATTTCTGAATGTCACCAGAACCACTCTCCTCAGCTAAGTCACTGGTTAACTATTCAAAAAATTCACTCTGAACATTTGGGCCATGGGAAGTTCGGAGTTCGACGGACTATTTCCTTCAAAATCCTGCGTCTCACGAGTCACGTGATCCGCCCAGTTATCACGGGACATTTTAAACAGTAGAAGAGGATGCTTATTACTCACCGCTTCTATTTAGTGTAGCGAAGCTGCAAGCCGCCGAGCGCTTCGGACTGTAGAAATTGTCTTTACGTAGGTAACTGTGGGACATTCTTGTCAGTTTCATATGTGAGGTAAATAAGTTGTCGTGGATAGCTTCTCGAAGCGTGGGAGTCCCAGGCTGTGCGCATAATTCTCTATTAAAAACCATAAGAACTCGTAAGACGCGGTGTCAAAACCGATGTGACTGGCCATAGGAAGGTGACTCCATAAAGAATAGTAGCTAAATAGACTTGATAGTCAGGAGCTCTTGTGTGAACTCACCATTCGAACAATAAGACCTGTGTCATTTGGCTGTCTACATTCCTTGAGTGAGTTCGATAGTCTATGTAGTATTTCGGTCTCAGTGCTTTTCATGCTAAGGTTCTTTGGGCACAGGGCATAGTTTGACACCATTTTAAAACCGTATTACTCATAGCTTTCTAACTGGTTCCCAAAGGTCCTCGACCTGCGTTAACCCCCATCGCAATGTGTTCTTCGTGGCTGTACGACAGCGAAGCATCAGTTCAAATTGCTGTTGTTGATGATGTTAACAAGCAGCGAAACCGTGAATGTTGTGATTCAGTAATTCGGTGCTGCCGGAAGGCGAAGCGTGTAAACCGTGGCTGGAATCTTGGAATTGAAACCGTTTGTGCTGTATGGGTGTTTCATGAACAAACCGCACACCTACTTCATGAGAGCAGAGTGAGAACGAGGGCTCCCTACTAACCGAGTCAACATGAGGTTAAATCTGGAAGGAGCAATACGACAATGGACCCATCTGAAGAACCCTTCAGGTATGATGATAACACCGGTTGATAGGTTTTCCGCATCACTGATGAATAAGTTGAGGTGAAAGACTTGGTGGACAGAAAGACTACTGAAAATGTGTGTTTGTGTGTGGGGGTTATTACGAGAAGGGGATCCTAAACTAAAGGCCACCTCTAACATTTGATCCGATGGAATAAGACGCGGGGCAACAAGCGGCAGATCTAGCATAAGAGCATACTTTCGACGGGATCTAGTCGTCTGCAATCTCGGGAAGCCCAGAGTGATCTGTGTTCTTTTGCCGTACTAGACAATATAGCTGCTATTGCAGTAAGCTACATGTGACGTACAGCGGAGTTAAAACATGCCGGTCGCGGTTATCTATGTTGAGGCAAGTAGTTGACAAAAGCCCCGGTCGCTAAAAACAATCCCCGGTACCTGTACTCTCAGGTGGTAGAGAAGAAACTACATGTCAAACGTTACAGGGAACTCATTGTGGATGTAGATCTCATTGGTTTTTGAGAGGTGAAGCAACGACTGGTCGATAACTATCACACACGCGTGTAGCAGTCCACCAACATCGGCAACTGTTAGATAAGTTCGGTTGTCAGAGCGCGGTGGGCACCGCGATGCAGATTGTGCAAGAACCCACATTCACTCTGTGTTGTACAATGGAAACCGAAATCCTGTTATCCGCGTGTATTTGTTCGACTTGGGCCTGGATAGAGAAAAAGGAGGGGACGCGAGCCGATGACCTAGTCGAGAGGAAGCAAGTTGGTTTATATTGGTGCATGCCTGCGAGGTTGGGGCCTCAAAGATGACGAACGCTTGTTGACTTTGTGAAAAGTCAGTTTCAGTGACGTACGTATTGTGTTTTGTTTTCCCATCGCATCCAAACACGATCTCAAATACGATGCACAATATGGTTGGCGACATTGGATGGGGACAAATACAGGACACCATGGTGGCTCCCGCTGCACCACTTACACCACACATCCTGTGTAAACTCATATGAATAACACCGGGAGGCATGTTGATGAGAGCCACATTTCATCAACGGATCCGGCCCACACTCCTTCAACCTGCACAGCAGCAACATTCCTGTAAGGAATCATGCATAGCAGATGTACAGAAGGCGGTGGTTGGGCCGTAGCCCGCTTCACAATGGATGCATGCAACCACTGTCTGAGCCTAACACAGTCACAAGTGTGCGTTGAAATCAGGCAGCAAGAATAGCCGAACGCTCTTTGGCCGGTGGCCGAGTGGTCTGCACGTTTGCTTTGCAATCATAAGGTCACCGGTTCGAATCCGCGTAGGGGTGGGCGTCCTCGCGGTATACTCAGCCCGCGCGCGACTGGTGGTGGTCGCGCGGCAGCGAAGCGCCGTTACGGCGTATAAGCTGACATCTTTACCTTACCTGGTACAGACCGTGTTACAGAGGATAACTGAGTGCAAATGTGATCCTATATGTCGTCGGGATAACATATGGGGGACCATACGTGCAAATAAGTAGCAAAATTGACACTTCCAAGTCGCCGGCCAAGAGTCATAAGCCGTGAACGGATGATAATCGGCTCCGCCACCAGTTGGCCACTTAGGCAGTCGAATAGTGCAAAGTTGACCCCATATTCACGTGGTGCTGTGGCGGCATTTACCACTCAGTAGAAGGTGTAAGCAGCACAACCCTCATGCAGCTTGCTTGGGTCAGCGAGCTAAATCTCATTGAGTGCGGCAACCTCAAGGCTGTAGCGCGCGAGTTCCATCGCGACTATTGCAGTGTGTCGCTCACTCGCACTCCGGTACAGTACTGTGCACACATTCCAGCACTCGATATTAAGCGTCTTGCATGGAGACATACGACTGCGTTGGCGGGCACTTGTATGAGTGGCGACGGCCTGAATTGAAGGAAGTATTGGATTACGTGAAATAAAGATGGGAGAAGTATGTGCAAGAGAAAAAGAAAGGAGGCGTCAGTCGTAGCATGTTTTCTGCTTATCCATGGGATAATGTTCCCATGCTGAATAGTGGTGTGATTCACGATTAGTTTCTGGAATGGAATACTGAAAAGACATTCAAACATGACAGAAGTACAACTCAGATCCTCAGCCAAAGCCCTCGATCAAATGTACTCCCGAAAGGCAGCGGGCCGTGCGCCATGAGTCAGTGAACCGACTCACGCGAAATCGTGCCCTTGCACTTAGCTTGAAGGAGGATCAGAGATGAGTCCAGGGCACAACAATGGGAGCAGCAGATCAACGACTTGTAGATGATCTAGTCACCACAGGCAACAGCGAACATTGGACTCTCCGGACCGCATAATATGAAATAAAACACCATTCCTTCTCTCTCGTATTTCGTAATACTCAATAGTTTGTATCTTATCTGTATTTGTTTGCATTGTGGCACCCCCAGCTAATGTGTTGTATGATGAAGAATGATGGTCGCACCTCTATAGGCCACATGATAAGTACCATGAAATGAGGTAGAACAGTATAAGTAGCCATACGCGGGATCAAAATCGTTGCAGCCTGGAAGCCATCTGACATCGCTGGTGGACTGGAACGTACACCTGCGTGAGCGTCAGTTGACATCAGCCAAAGTAAAATGGAAAGGGAGCTCTATGAAATGCTTATCCACAGAAATGACATGTAAATCCAACAGTGGTCATCGTGTCGCCGCTGAAATCAGGACCTATGGCTTGATCAGAACACAAACCACTATACTAAAGCGTTCTTGCGCCACAGATTAATTTTGGCAGTTCGTCCGAGAATCCTTAAGATATGAGTCATCATTGAATAGACTGACAGTGAAATAAAAACGACGGGCGATATACAAACAGTTTTCTGAGGCTGATGGAGTTCTCTGCATCAGCGAAACTTTACACGCAGTAGGTGGGTGAAACAAATTTGCGGAGGAAGCACTGAGCGTGCTAAACCTCGACAATAAGAAGATCGAAGGATAATGTGTACACAGTTGGTTATGAGCAAAAGATGCACGACCCGTCTGCCAAAAATACAGTAACAAATAAACAAGTGATCAGTTTGTTTAGCGGCGACGTGGCGAAGAACTATAACTTCGAGAAGAAGAGCGGCTGCGACTGGATGATGGGCGCCGAAAACCGGAATATTTGTGCGATCGCCTCCCGCGTCTATGTCGAGAAGAGCTGTACCGTCTGCGTGAGCTAGGAGATCGCGAATCGCGACTGTGGGAACGAGAGCAAGATCTAGACCATGAACGACGCCGGGTGCGGCCACTCGAGTATGCGCTCTGGATAGTTGATCTGTAGGTTGAAAATGAACGAGACCTGGAGCGTGAGTACCGCGATCTTCTGATAGGGGAGTAACGCCCATAATAACTGGCTCTGCCACGACTTCTTGAATCCGAAAAATCACTTCGCCGACAAGTGCTGCGGGAGAACGGACTGAGAGAACGTCGTGGCCGGCTGCGACGGGGGGAACACGATGAATGAGAGCCTGTGTCGCATGAAGAGGATGCAGATGAATCAGTTGTACTTGAACTTGATGAACACGAACGTTCGCGGAGTGAGACGGGCTTCCGTGGTTGAACCTAAAAGATGGATGTGGAAATAGTGCTAACTGCATTTAGACAAATAGCAATGAAGAGCGGGATGCCAAATGAAGGACATACCTGTTCACGAGATGTTTCAGCAGCAAGTGAGTTAGCGGCTGACTCGAGCAACTTCTGCGATGGAAGACTGGTATCTAAGTCTTCTTTGCTGGCCTTTGTAACATCGGCGGTAGGGAGAGTTGATTCAGTTGATTCAAAGTCAGGAGTCATGGAAGCTTTCGCAACCAGCGCGTCTGCATTCCCAGATTCTTCAACGGAAGATTTGGAGAATTGGCCCATGCGCAAACGCTGAAGAACGGAAACAGTTTGTTTTGAAGCTGGTGCCGCAATTGGCTTATCCAGACTTTCAGTCGTGGCATCCTCTCCTCTTGAGGTGACAGGTCTAGAGTACTCGGAAGCAGATTGCCAATGGCTAGTAGTCCAAGAGTTACGCTGTTCTGTCTTTTCAATGGGTTCTTGAGAGCGTTCCCATTTGCTTGGTTCATTAAAACCCTGGAGTGGTTGAAATACAGATAGTACCGTTGGGTTGGAATGTCATCAACATTTCTCAGGATGGTGAGCATGCAGATCAAATATCGAAAACGAAGCTACACATAGTCGCGAAATGCATACGCTGGAAATCCCGCTTCAAAGGAATCTGTGTGAGACTTGCTTAATCGAAAAAAACGGCAACTGGGTAGTCTCGCTAGTTTTTATGATGCTAGTTTCCGAAACTCATCAAAGCTGGAATATGGTCAATACTTGCTCACCTAAGCTTTGACGCTGTCGCAGATGTTCACTGGTTAGAAAAATTAGAGATAAGACGATATCCCAACCTCAATGCTTTGTTTCGGCTAGTCTGGATCTGACTCGATCTAGTCGCTTGCGCCTACATCAACCCCCAATGGTTTTGGCTCTCCAACTAGTGACGGATTCTGCTCGAGCTGCATTCGGGGTGTTAGGCTGAAACATGCCAACTGGTATGCTGATTGACAGGCAGCTATCACCCTCAAGAAACGTGTGTCACAACTGACACACACAACACACACACAACGACAACTGACCTAGACACCGGATCAAGTCGAATTTTTACAGTGAGGTCAGCAACAGCAAACAAAAACATCCGAGCAAAAGTGCACCTAACTCACAAAAAGCTATCACATCACCCCAGTAAGACTAAAGTGAGGTTGCCAGATTAGGAATGAAATGATAATGGCTATGCATCTAAAATCTCGTCTGGTGATCTACAACCAAGGGATTCGGTATGCCAATGCCCATGGTAGAGGCGCTGAGCAAAACTAGAATCCCAATAAACAGGCCTGCATTATAATCCAATTCTGATGTCGACAGTCGCCTCCTTGTTCGATCTGATCAAATGCACAATCACTCAATGTTGGCTGAGCGGAAAGATTGGTTGTAAAAAAAAAAGTGAACAAAACTGCAGGACCAGATGACTATGAACGTCACTTGTGTACAATGAGCGGGTTTGTAAAGCAAATGTCGGGATAGAAAGAAAAGTTAAGAGCAAGGCTGACATAATCAACAAGACCCCCACTTCGAAGAAGTGTAGAGAGTAAGTAATGAGCCCACCGAGATCCGTCTCGTCTTCATTGCATCAAGAATTTTGGCTTGTCACAATGAGTGCTGTCGACGATGAATTTCTAACGAACAAGCAAAGTTATCTAAAGATGGTTACTTCCGCATATTAAGTTGCATTAACAGGTAAAAGTGTATGCATAGGAATACATCAGGATGTACAAGGGCCAGTAGAAAAAAGGTGAGGCAACAGTTCCGACCACGTCTGAAAAAAAAATCGCGTCTGCGAACTATGGATCGTTCGATTCAAGTGGTATTTTTTTATTTCGCTCTAATTTAACTTAGTGTATAGTACGGCAATGTCGATAAATAAAGGTAGCATTCCGTCGTGCTATCTGTAAATGAGTTACTCATAGATGTGCGAGCTGAAAAGATAATCGAATCCAGCCAGAAACAAAATACGGGGAAATTGATGAAAGCGCCTAGGTGCTCAGACACGGTACAACTGCACTAAAATCTCAGCTGTATTTATAAGTTCGGTTACAAGGTACAATGGTCGTTGGCTCGTAAAGCCAATTTTTAAATGAATCAGGGCGCTGCAAACTTCCTTTGGAAATTTGCTGAATGCCAAGAAAATATATGTTACCAAGCGCGCCCCCCGATTGCGGATCAGAGAACCACCTACTTACGAAGGTAACCGTGAACAAGTCACGTTTGTTCAGACGAAATGGACAAGCAGTCGCCATGTCCTAGAGCGTGGTAGTCCTGTGTGGTCACACAGTTCCCATTAAGTTAAACAAGAGCTGGTACGATGCTACGTCTAAGTCAATGCGATCGGATATAGGGTCACTGGTCAGTCATTTCTGCAGTGAGGTGAGTGCACTGTGGAGATCGGACGAACAATTACAATGGCCACCGGTATCTATGTGTCACTAGAGGACTGAGAAGGTACATGAGCTGTCCACGGTCCTCGGGTGCGGTAGAAACATGTAGTGACTTTCGAGTTGCTATGCTTGAGATTTTAAGGCATCCGTAGAGGTTTGTTTATGATCGGAAGCTGCGTCATTAAGAATTCAGCTACAAAGACCCAACGGTTCGCGATGTGCGTTAATCGATGCGGTACTTTGCAAGTCAGGTCTTCACAACCATAGGTCCGCAGATCCCCAAATAGACTCTTTTCGCCGACCTAACGCCTAGGAGCTGCGCACACACAACCTATGAATCGAAACTTCGACAATGTTTTGCTCAATGTCTTCGCTCGTTGGAAACGCTCTTCTCCGTCGAGGTGCTAATGGCCGGGTTCCATAAACTGCACCAAAAAAACGCGTTTGCTTAAACCCACTTCGTTCCCAAGTCCACAACGCCAAGACGCTTTGGGAAGAGATTCTCGAAGCCACCAAATTTTATCAGCAAACCATTTTACCGCTCCGTTTCAAATTCAAGCTAGCAAACTTCGCACGCTCGTGCAGGCCGGATCACAGGCAGTCCTTGCTGGTACTCTGGGAACTCCCGCCGTGGAGATTTGTTATTCTACTAAAACCCGTCTAAAAAACTTTAGCACTGTGCTACGGTTGGTTTCATTGCTAGGTAAAATCAGTCAGAGTTAGCGAACACGTGAGGAATTCTGTAAGTCGTAGGGGAATAGCGAGTGCAGCGCATAGAGTCTCGAAAAGACAGATGAAATACTTGTAAATCTGAGAAAGATGAACAATTTTCAACTGGAGCCAGTGAAACAGGTCGCATGAGTGGGTAACTCACCTCAGCCAGGGGATCATCTGCAGCAGCTATTGGAGCAACCCTGAGAAGAAGAATTAGCGTGTCTATGATCAGGAAAGATTCAAATGAAACTAGCGAAACACTTTAAGTGGTATTTCTTTCCTTGAATATCCTCTCAAAATTGTATAAGTGGTTAAAAGCTTGTGCCACAAACACAACCTAAAGTACATAGTAGGTACCTATGGCATCTTTGTTTCTATCAAACAGCAGACTATGTACGATAAGACCGATCAGTAAACTCAATCTCGTTTTGTACGGCAAATGCTAGCAAGTCGATTGAATATCAACCTATGTGATCGTAACCGTGGCAATAATGGCAAACAACGATGAAGAAAGCGCAATAGGAAAAACGGTAGAAGATGGATAGAAAAACAAGCAATGTTGATTAACTGGTGACCAGATGTTGGATAAAGTATCTACTGATGTGGCCGATCCGAATCTTCAACTGTGAAGGCATGCAACAATCTCTTTATCGAGGTCTCAATGACTTGTTATGGCACCGACTAGTCTTACCGCCGCACTGTTTAATCAACTTCGGAGTCCGTAGCTGTGCGGTTGATATGGTTGGCGGCATCCGGTTTCGGATTTGCCTGTCACTGTGGCCAGCCACAGGACGCCTGCGCCTACAGAGGGACCATGGATGGTCTGCGCTGCACTACCCACAGCTCCAACCACACACCCCATATCCAGTGTAAAGCAGAAGGAATAAGACTGGGAGGTATGCGGATGGGAACCACGTTTCATCAACGGAGCCGGCCCACACTCCTTCACAGGCAAACACAAGCACGCTGTATTTGGGTAATCAACCGCACACAAGGCGGTGGCTGGACCGTAAGTCCGCTCCATACTGAGTACATGGAACCACTCTTCGAGCCTAACACGGCCACAAGGACTGTGCACCCCGTCCCCTCCAGCAACGACCAACTGTCTCCTGGAGCCAGTATGGACGAGGTAGCGGGTAATAGACAGGTAGGCACCTTGTCAACATGCACATCAAGCGCAGCCACACCGGGGATATCAAACAACAGCCAAACATTTGAGAGAGAGAGAGAGACAAAGAAAATAACTCGATTAATGCATAAGGAAACGGTGACATAAACCTTATGTTAATGAGCATATGTAACAAGTTGTTTACAAACGAATCCTAGGTAAGTTCGCGAGGTCAGAAAGTATACTTTACGGAATACCTCGAACACAAAAGTGCTATGGAAATCGACTACAATTGGCTTAAGCGAAGTGTGCAAGTTAATGGAATAGAGTACAGGTAGACATTTATATGAGAAAGAAAAGCATTTAGGCAAAATTGAAAACCCACCACCTGAAATAGAGACTTAGCATGCAAGCACGCGGTTAGTAAATCGGTTGATATACGAAGAACATAACACACGTAGATGGTCCCAGAGTGAAAAGCGGTCTGGCACTGCGCTGGATGGTCTTAAGTCGAAGAGCGGAAGAATAAGCGCCCAACGCAGTTGAGAAACAAGCATAGAGATCATTTGATGCTCGTGGATAAACTATATACACACACTTGTCGATTAGTTCGTGTTAAACTGTAGTGCTGCACTGACGATGAGTAATGAGGGAAAGGTCGAAAGTAAACTTGTGTTTGAAACGTACATGCTTTTTTCAAGCAATTTCTTCGAAAGTTTCACTGGAGAGGTTGCTTGGTTGCGGAACTTGTGTCTGGAGGTTGGACTGTGGGAAGCAGAACGATCAGACAACCTGGACTTCGAAAATTTCGAGCTTTGACTGCGACTGCGATTGCTGGCGACCGGTGACTGATGGCGTTCAAGGCCCACGACATGCCGGCTGCGACGATGAGACGATCCAGAACGAGAATGAGAAGTGGAAGAACGAACCCGCCTACGACGAGGAGGGGAGTACGACCGAGACCGCGATCGGGACCCCAGTCGCAAATTTCCAGAGGCGGCACTTCTGCGCTCAATGTATCGCGCGCGGTCATCCGATGAACCCGGAGTGTGGTAGGTGCTCGAAGCAGATGGAGCAATGCGGCGCTTTTGGATTAACTGCTGATGACGCATTCGCCACCTGGATAAAGGAGATCAAGTAAGGGAGCAGGTTTTAACAGGGTTGGCGAAGTGCGTTGCTATGTGGAAGCAAGATGAAGAGAAAACAGGATAGGACTAGATTCATAATAGCAAAGTCGGTGCGTAAAGTCGAGAAACTGTGATACACATGACAGTGAGGATAGGGTTAGAATGTGTAGAAAACGGTGCCGAGGAAAACGGCAAAGAATGATTGACACTGCCCTCAAAATCTACACGTCAACAAATACAGAACAGATTTCGGGATGAGTAAGACGTGCTTCACAAGGCTCACGCCTAAGGTTGAAGACCCAGCAACCTGAAAAGTGGTCGTGCTTAGCAAACTTCAATCACAAACGAGCGCTTTGTTGGACAGGTGGGTGAACAAAGTTTTAGAAGGGCAAGCGTAGAACAGCAATTACCTTTCGACCTTTTCCTTTAAAGAGGGGCTGAAAGCGAAAATATTTATTGCAGATGCAAACAAAATAAGTGAATAGAAAACACTAGCTAGGCAGACTAACTAGTCCAAGAAGGAACCAACTACAAGTTAGGCCTGATGTGAGTGAGGGTGGAATAAAACACATATGACAACTGAGTAAAGTCATGAAATCGTAACAGAATGGCAGTAAAATGTTGACAGAGAAAGGGTCTCACTTTTGCACAAGATGAGGAGGAGGGCTTCGCGGAGCAGCTTTTTTAGGAGGTTGATCCCCGGAGTGTGAGCGCGAACGAGTAGAGGAGCTGCGATGAGAACTTTCACAAGAAGAAGAATCAGAATGAGAGCTAGATGCACTAGGAGAGCCTGTACCAGGGGAAGCTCGTGTTGCAACGGGTGGTCTAGCACCGTCAGATTTAGAAGTCTTTGGTTCAGAAAGAAGAGATTCCCGCCTTGAAGGAGACAACCCTTTGCTTTTGCTTCCGATCTTCGGAGAGAAATTGCGGCTATCCCGCTGAGAATCGACGCCGGGATCGCGAACTGACAAGCGGGATTTCGGAGATAAGCGACGGTGTGGGAGGTGTTGCGGGGATTTCTGGAGAAGTATAACGTATAGACGAAAAATTAAACGAATACCGATGAAGAAGCAGGACTGAAAGGTGTGCAAAATCCGGAGCTTAGTAAGAGTTTACAACACCAGTAGAACAGGTTTGCGTTAAGCATTGTGATAAAAATAGTCAAGCAAGATGCGCAAGTTATTTACACAAACAATGACGAGATGTATGTGAAATAAATTAAATGGTGACTGCTCTACCTCTGAATGCTGTGGCAGACGGTCAGACGGAGCCGAAGCATGTTCATGTGGAACGAAAGGTGGTGCCGGAGTTCGGTGTGGGGGCGGAGAATTGAGATCAGAGCGTCCAATGCGGCGTTCGCGAGAAGCGTACTTCAATTCGGACGATGGTGAAACAGAAGGAGATGAGTACAGCTGATGGCGAGTGGGTGGAGAACCAGGAGAGGGTCGAGTGAGCTTTCGTGGAGATCGAAGGCTGGGAGAAGTAGAATACTTTTGAGGGGAGAGGCGAACTGGAGAACGCGTCGACCTACGTGAAGTCAGCGATGGAGATTGGGCTCGACCAGCTGGACTTTCAGTGACCTGGGAAGGAAAGCATAGTAAGTAACGATGCTATAGCGTTGACTGTGAAATCGGCATAATTGAAAGGTATAAGCTCTCGTAATCATTAAGAAGCGCTCTAACTGAAACTGCAACTGAACCCTTCTAAACTAAGTTACACAATACATACCTTTCCTGACGGCATTGTTGAACCAAACGCCTCAGGTTGTGACGTTTTCCGTCGTGAGAATGTGTAAGCATCATAGTCTCTTTCCTCAGTGCGGCTCTCCACAGAGCTATACTTTGACTTGGAGCGCTCGGAAGCTTCAATGGTGCTATGAAGATCAACAGAGGACTGCTCTCGCCGTTCCTCAGGATTGGTAGGGGCACGTCTCGTGGGAACTGGAGAAGTTACTGACATGTTTCGGATATTCCACGGCTTCACTTGGTTTACTTGTCTCATGGGAGAATCTGTGCCACTAAAACTTGACGATCTAAGAGATAGGAGACGGGGAAGTAAAGGGCGTATTGCTGAAGGTCGTCAAAGCGCCAAACAACCAGCAGAAGGCCCTGTTCAAAAGTTAGGCATGACTGCGAACCACACAAAACGAATTGTCGACTGAAAGAAACCAAGATTATTCAGGTAAGCAGAACAAACCAAAGAAAGTGGAATGAAATTTGTCCAGCTTAAAAAGACCAAGTTTAAATGTAAGTTGGTTTAGCCCATCTGCAGTGAAGAAGCATCATGAATGCAACATCAACCCTAGCACGGGGCTCAATATTATACATGAATATATATATATATATATATATATATATATATATATATATAATATCCATGGCAGAATAAGAAAACAGGTTCCGAATGAAAAACATGATTCTTTTCTCTAGTTTTTCATTCAGTGTTTTTAATTCTGTTAATTTGTTCTATGATGGAAGGGAAATAGAAACCACCGCAAAAAGCAGAGATACATGTCTACCATGGAGGTTGGTGTTGAGACATGCGTTCCTGCGTCTCCAAGCAGCGACACCGGATCTCAAATCCCAACCAGAAAGAAGAGAACAACCGACCGAGACCAACTGTTGCGTCCCATTTTTCATTCTGCCTCTCCAACTTGTAGACTGCCCACGACGCCGCCTCCTCCAGCCCTGTCCAGCAATTGTGACCAACTTTCGACGTGGAAGACGATGAGTGGGCATGCGAATTAAGTGTTCAAGTTACCGCAGCTGGACGAGTTCCTCGAGTGAGTAGCTGCTTCCATCCAAAGGCACGTCTAACTTTCACATTGGTTAAGTAGTGCAGTCCCCACACACGTGCGATGGACCGCAAACAACGGTGCTCGAAGACAGACAGACGGTGCCAACTGCGATTTCTATCACCAACTTTATCAACTGCAAAGTAAAGCCGTCAAATCGGACGTCATCCTCGCATGAGACTTCAACGTCGGAGTTGGTCGTCTGTTACTAGGTGAATTTCACCTGGTTGTTCACCACGCATCGAATGAAAATCACTCGGCTAATGGAACCAGGCTTCTCACTGTGTGAAGACAAGGGTTTATCTCTCGAAAGCACCCATTTCATGCATTCCAGGTACTTTGCCACTTGGCGTCTTCTATCACCAACGCAGCCATGGCGCCAAATAGACCACATTCCAGTTTTGAATGGCGAAACACGATTGCAGATCATTTTGATCAACTCGAGCGATCGATTGTACAGATATCAGCATGTGATTCGGAGAGCCTCAAAAATGGAAGCTATGTAGAACCGATAATGACAGGTTAAAGGGATCAGTCAAGTCCGCCGGAATAGTCATTGAGAAACAAATGATCATGATCATTTCGATAACAAAGTTGAAGAGGAAGAGTGGTATAAGACAATCCTGGCGAATCCCACTTGTCGTGTGGAACTCAGGGGAGAGTTTCCCGTAGACCCTTACAAGGCCTCGGGAATCACGGTAGAGATACTTAAGAATGGAAAGGAATTTAGTCGGCATGCGCTTCATGGATAGGCAGTGTCACGATCTGGTGGGGTCAACAGAGTCGAAGGGGTCTGTATGTGTTTCTACACAAAGACTTAAATTTCGCTGCATTGTCAGCCGGTAACTCAAATGAAGTCTTCAAGGTGAATGGGAATTGTGGCAGTCTCAACGTGCCTTGGAGATGGAGGCCGCCGCTCTCACTGGAAATACTCGGAGGTTGTTCCAACTCATGCGGACCACTACACATAGGAGTGGCGCCAAATGCTATGGACGAAGCGTTTAGTGAGAGGAAGTCAAGACCTTCGAAGGTTAGCCACTTTCATTTGCTAAGATAGTAACCTGCGTGGCGGGTCGTAGCTTACAAATTGTGTAGCCCAGCCGACATCCCTCATGGATCAGTGGCTTAAGCTGCTGGCTAGTTGGCATCTGCCTCTAGCGGTCATGGGTTCGATCTCCAGTAGGGGACCGAGGGAATGCGCACCACTGACGAGCCCCAATAGGGCGAAACGCGTCTGGTGCTTTTCCGGATTAGGCTGTGCTATGTAGCTTGTGAGCAGCTGGGACGAAAACAGTACAATTACAACCATTAAATTGTTGAGACATGTGGACAGATAGATTAAGCATTTCCAATGTCACTTGAGCTGCTCATCGCCGTCTACCTTTGCACCGAGCACACCCGGTCGCATGTCATGGGCAGTGCCACTAGAATCACCTACAGAAGTGTGCGTTTCCTTTGAGATCCGACACATAACGCGCTTGAAGGCTGCGGCCTCAGATGAATTTCTCCCCAGAATTATTTAAGTACAGTAGCACAATTGTCAATTAGCTAACATCTCTAGTCCTGAAGCAAGGAGAAAAAGTACCCTCTTCTTGAGGAGAGTCAGTAAATGTCCCAATTTGCAAGAGATTCCCGTGCCTCATGTACACCAATCATAAAGGGACGAGTCTGACGTCGGTTGACTTCCAAGGTACCAGCATCCATTATGCCCTGTAGGCTAGCACCAACGCGTGAAACACGCTACCGCAAGAAGCAGACTGGTTTTTGCACCATTAGGGGATGTATGGATCGTTATAACTACCCCCGTCTAACGATCGATGTCTTCCCGGTTATTCGGGCAGTATTCGACTTAGACCGACCAGCTTTATGGCGATGTCGGCTAAGGAATGAAGTGCCCAAAAGTAGGTAGCTATACTTCGGGCACCATATCTCCATACTTCAGGTAGGGTGAGAGCCTACAACAAGCTTTCTGCGCTCTTCCATGTTACCAGTGGTGTGCGGCAAAGATGACTTGTCTCTGTTTCTCTGCAACTTTGCGATCTATGACTTGTTAGGAGCTTTAGAAAGGTTGCAAGGTTTTGACATTGAGGTCCTTCCAGATGGCCATGCAACCGACTTACATTACGCTGATGACATCGCCTTGTTCGATGACGATTCTCTTGGTATGTAAGTGAACCTTGAGTCAGTAGTGCTTGTAGCGTCTAGGTATGGTAGGTGCAATGCTCCTCTGTGTAAAAGGTTGGTACAGGATTGACAATCGCCCCTGTCTTAGGTCAACATCGAAGGCATAGAGCTCGAACACGTGAAAGTTGTTTGTACCTAGATAGCTACGATTCTGCTGACGCAACTATTGGAAAGGAGACATCAGTTCGCTTCGCGACAACCTGGTCGAATTTTGTTAACTTGGGGCATTCGTGATGTCGTCACGACATTCCGCTCTCTTTAAACGGCAGGGTCTGCAATACCAGTGTAGGGATGCGAATCCAGGCCGCTCCATGTATGTGACATGTGTAATCCTTCGGTCTTTGACGATGGTTGTTTCCGGAGGATCGCCCGTGTATGTTGGCAACATCGAGTGCCCAATGGTGATGCCAGACACCATGGCTTGGCCAAGACGGGTCTTCCCATCTGTGAGCCTGTACTGTTACGCTAACTGATATAGGTTGGCTAGGTCCTGCACATGCCTAATGAGCGTCTACCACGCCACGTCTCTTTATGGGCAGCATTGGAAGAGGCCACGTGAAGGTCAGCTAGCTAAGCACTTGACGAAAAGCATGAAAAATAAACATCTTACCTAGCCTTTGCATGCGCACTACCACTAACGGTTTGGAATGTAAACAGGAAGAATGCCTATGACTTACTACGCTCGAAACGATTGCGCGAAACCGTATGCAGTATAAGCAGTATGCGTAAGTTTGCGTGGATTCAGGGTCTCAGAAGCACTAACTAATAAGCATGAAGAAGTGCAAAACGTGCGGAAAAATGACAAAAACTGATCTACTTCTCACTATTTTACTGTTTTCTGGTTCCTAGTTGCGTAGTTTTGAATAGCTCGGTGTCGATTCCAACAAACCGATGTCAAGATATATGGCTAGCAGCATCCGATTCCGCATGTGCTTGTCACTGTGTCTTCCATGGGAACAGCCACAGGACACCAGTGCTTACAGAGCGACCATGGGTGGCTTGTGTTGCTCCATCCACACAAAGCATATCTAGTGTAAACTCGGAAGGATAAGATCGCCTTCAGCGTACAATGCAAAACAAAAAGTATCGCAATAATTTGTTTTCAAAATGGAGTACAACTCGATAAAAGTGATATCAATGAAGTGATTTGTTGGGGTTGAGTAGAAAAAAATGAACTCCACTTCCATTAGTATCATCACCATCAAGACACCACAGCTAATGTGCCGCCATTCAAAAAATATCAAACATTACGGACGATAAAAACTAAAAGGTAATATGATACCAAATCTCATATTATGCATTGGATATGAAATCGTTGTTGGAGTGAGAAGCTAAAGCGGAGGGGGAGAAAGAGAAACACGCCACACAAACACTAATGAGGTCGGCTCTTCGCCATATCAACTAGACGTGTCCGTGGTTCTTCGGACTCCTGTCTGGCTGTTATTAGACACCAACGACACCACTTACGAAATGAGTTTTCATTCCCATGACCAGGCCATTGCTTGGCGCTGCCAGCTTTTTTCTACACTGTTCGCGACCTCATCTTCTATACCACAGGCGGCCGGTGGCCGAGTGGTCTGCGCGCCTGGCTTGCGACTATACGATCACCGGTTCGAATCCGCCTAGGAGTAGGTGTCCTCGCGGTACACTCAGCCCAAGCGCGACTGGTGGTGGTCGCGTGGCAACAAAGCGCCATTACGGTGCATAGCTGGCGATTTGTTTTTTTTTTAATTCCACAGGAGCTGTCGTATCTGCCTGGAAACGGAAATTCCTGAATGAATTCTAAATGATCGCTACAAAAGTTCAGCGAAGGGGTAGGTCTCTGCCAATCTTGGAGGTGGACTTTGTATTTCGATGGTGTAGAGGCTAGCTCAAAACGACTGACAGCCAGTGGTAATCTGTCCAGTGCCACTTAGCACGTTTGGTAACTGACACAGATGGCAATGTCATCGGGTCGGCCTGCAGACTACAGATAAAGAGATTGTTCCGTAATCTTGCAGCGCTGGTTCGAATCCGCGTAGGACTGGGCGTCTTGACGGTATACTCAGTCCGCGTGCGACTGGTGGTGGTCGCATGGCAATGAAGCGCTGTTACGGTGTACAGCTGACCCACCATTTTTATTTATGTTTTAATGTCATCGGCGTACTCCAAGTCAAGAAGCCGATCGTGTGGTAGCAGCTCCACACTTTGTATGCCATATCCAGTGAACACCGTTTATGTGATGAAGTGAAATAGGAAAGATAACAGCGAGTAATCTTGTCTCAACAAAGGAGAAAATTAAAGAGCGGCGCCATCTTGCCATAAACTCTCTGATCGAACTACGCACGTAAAGCGCATTGATAATGTTTATATATTTACGGGCACACCTACGCACAACAGAGTTCAATGGTCACATTGATCCATAGAATCGAATGCAATTTTGATGTCGAGAAAAACTAGGGTGGACTTCCAATAAATATGGCCGTGTTCGAACAAATGGCGTAAAGTGCAAAATTTGATTTCGACGGAATCCGGCTTGCTTCTCGCGAATCTAGCTTTCCCGGCAACCACCAAATATGTGGAAAACGGCACACATAAGCAATTTAAATACCACTAATTCCAAACGTGAGTCACACTTGAAAATTGGGACTATAACGGAGCGGCTCATCAGTTGGGGCAGCTTCCAGCTCCCACACCTTCGCTAGGCACGCAACTCATCCACGAAAGATAGTATCCCAACTTTTAAAGGGGGTGACGGAAGTCGGCTTGCTCCTGCGGTCCTATCCAATTTCAGTGTTCGGTGCTAGCGTTCGACTTCTACGCGTGAGTATGGGTTCAAGTGGATAGGATGGCTCAGAGAGAAAGGCAATCAACACTCGGAAAGGAAGATGATAACTTACGTTGATTAAAGTGCATTTCAGTGTTCGACGCAACGCTCAAAGGGGTTTGACAAGTTATGGATAGGCTGTACACTTTGTTTGCTCATGGTCTCGGTAACACCTGGTCGCCTGATGTCCGATTCCCGTATCAGGCGGGATAACGGGGTGGTTACCAACCACGGCAGCTGTCTTCATCTCCGAGGTACGATGACAGGATCAGGCCTGTCGATCTCTCTTCACACTAGCACTCAGTTTTCCCCAGAGATATTTACCAGCCTTATTGTGTTCGCTTCCGGAGGTACATGTCTGTGAGCATCCAGAAGTTCCAGAGACTACGTAAAGACCCATTGTCGGTTGGCAATTTGAGTTGCCATATCAAGACGTGGCTGCTGATAGCAACATTTGTGGAATGTGGCACCAGTGATCGTCAGCTGTGTTCAGTGGGCGTTTACTCAGCCCGGATGCCAACGTGCCGTATGTTGCCGAATATAAGACCGTCGATAAGCCGATAGTATAACCTTGCAACATCAAATTTGTCCAGTCGTGAGTTCCTATATTAGCCGAGCCTCAAAAAATCAGCGAGAAACAAAATTTATGTATTCGTCCCAGCAACTCACAAGGCACATAACTCGAGCACAATTCGGAAAAGCACCAGACGCGTTGAGCCCTATTGGGGCACGTCAGTGGTGCGCATTCCCTCGGTCCCCTACTGGTGATCGAACCTATGGTCGCTAGAAGCTAACGCCAAAGATGCGCACCATTGACGAGCCCAAATAGGGCGAAATGCGTCTGGTGCTTTTCCGGATTGTAGTTGAACTAGGTAGCTTGTGAGCTGCTGGGACGAATATATTAAAAACTACAACTAAAATACTTCTACGCATAAGAAACATAATTGTTTCTCCACGTTTTGACTTTATCACTACTTGCTCTCGCTTGAATGTGTTCAAGTGAAACCTGCTTTACTATTGGTCAGTTGTGGTGACCGTAATGACCGTAATTTTATGATGCAGTTAATGGGGCACAGAGCCTTGGGAACAAAGTTTTATACCGCACCGGATAGTATATTGACCACATGTCAAGTCACATGACGCAGGGAAAATAGCCGACAATATGGAGTAAGGTGAAAGGGTGTCAGACACTCCGTCTTGCATAGTCGGGGGCCTCTTGCATATGAATTACAGTATAGCAGCGGATGAGAGTGAAGTTTACGGTCGGTAGGGTGGGAGGACGTACTTTTAATGCATCGGATTGCCTAGCGTAGCATAATGTGTGAGTGCTTTGATTCGCTATCCAAAATAGCGCTAACGCGACGTCACATTTCGTGCGATCTTCCAAAGCCATGGAAACGTGACAAATGGTCTCCAGAGAAGCGATGTGCATATGCTTCTGGCTTGAAGTTGAAAGTTACTGTTTGCCGAGCAACCTAATATTTGTATGGTTGCATGCCATTTTACTGTTAGTAAAAAGCAAGTGAGGGAACGTCGAATAGAAAAATTAGAATCGACACTAATGCCTGCAGGCAAAAAAGCTGCACACAGTAGAAAAACCATGTTTCCTGCACTGGAGAAAAAGTCAGCGCAGTGGCTTATGCAGTCACAGCACAATGGGTTAATTGTTACCCGAATGAACACTCGGATCAGGGCGCTCACAATGTTAAAAAACATTGAATTCCAGTCCTCAAGACCGGAGAATTTTGTTGCTTCCTCAGGATGGTACAATCGTTTTATGAACCGATTTGACATGTGTCTACGGACCTACACAAAACTAACCCAGAAAGTGCCGAAGGAATTGGACATTAAAGTTGGAACTTTCAGCTGAGAAAGCAATACGATTTTGAACTGTCGTAGATAGGAAGCATGGTGGAGCCAACACATGGTGGGTGCCAACACAGATTTTGTAAAGATGAGACACGGTTCACGGTTGTTTTAGCATCAGCAGTACGCCGGTAAGTAGTACCGACGCTTAGCTGCCGAGAAGCAGCACCGATCGCATGTGGGCTAATGATACAGTGAGGGTCGCCCTGCCTCTACGCAGGCTCGAAGCTGCGCCGTCAGATTACTAGATAAGTTCGTTACCTTTAGGCTACGAGCCGGCAAATTTTTCCCGTTTGTCACCTTCCATTATTTTTGAAGTGATTGTCTTTCGATCGCTTAGACGGCTGATTATCAATCGGAATTCGTGGTCGCTCGCCCCCAACAGAAAAGAGAGAAAACCGGATCGGACGAACAGAGGAAGATAGTTGTATTAGCCATTCAGTTTAAACGTAAAATCGTAAGTTCGTGAATGGTAGGTAAAGCTCAAGTGGAAAACTCCAGAAGGGTCAATTTACGGCCAATCAAGTAATGCCACCCCCGTGTTAATTGGCCGCTCCGCCCGGTCGGCTATCTGTTTGCTCCAATCCATGCGGGCGAGTTAGGCTCGCCTGCCATGCCTTGGCTTTGTAACGACGATGTGCACCTCGTTTGTCCGCTTAGTTTTTCTTCCTAACAATTTTTAAGCGTAAAATTGCCTAAATTAGCGAAATTTCCAAGCGGCGTGATTGTGCGGGCTTATGCGAAAGGATGGATGGACGAGTGACATTAGATTGGCCTAATACAGTTTGGGAAAAGCAAAGCGGCGCCTTCTTAAATAAACCATTTGTGCTAGTTAGGGATTCCTTTAGGGCACATGGAATCGAGAACGTGGAGAAACGATTTCGTGAGCTGAAGGCGTCCGTGGTTTCAATCCTGAAGCCAATGGATGTCTGCTTCAATAAGCCCTTTAAAAATAGGCTTCGGGCCAGGTGGATCGTTCGATCGATAGGGTCTCTGGTGTTCGGGCAGGTGCTGCCTGCTGGCCAATCTGTAAGAATGTGTGCGTCATATGGCACTCCAGTCTTAGCGAGGGTCAAAGGTCGCAAAGAGAGACGAGGAAATCGACATCGGCTTGGTTGACTTATCGAGATCGGAGCGACGCCCTGCGACTGCATGGGAGCGGAAACTAGAAGATAAACGTCAATTGAAGCAAGAGGGGAGGACCGAGAATTGGAGGGTTGAAAACGGTGGATAAAAGTGTAGTTGGAACAGAACGATAAGGATGAAAGAGTGTAAGAATAAGAAGACGGGAAGATCTGAGTTGAATTCACTTCAAGGCTAATGGGTTTAAGAATGCAGCCAGTGACTTGTAATGGTACAATACATTTGGAAAACCTTATAGTAAAAAGCCCTGATGCACAGCTCACCTAGCACGCTTTGGGGAGCGGCTTGACAAAAGCACATCAGGGCGTCTTTTGGAGACTGCATGTGACGGCTTGCCAGGTGAGGGGACAACGGAGCCGCTACCATCACGCGCAACAGCCGTGGCCAAAGTAATGTTTGTATTCACTACAGGAGGTGATTCGCTTGGGCTTCGATTCCTAGCGACGACGGCGGCAGCCGACGGTGACAACGGCGGTTTTTGCATACTGCTTTCAACAGGACTGTCACGTTGGTCCAAGCCGTTGCTACTAGATCGACAAATGATTAAAAAAAGTCAGGTAATTAGTCAGATGTGAATAAAAAGTGCAAGTAAAAGCGACCAAAAGTAGAGAATTATAACACGAAATAGTAAACCACGTAGTGGTGGAATACGTGTGTTAATGCAAGATTACTTAAAATGAAAATCAACTAGTGTACGGAGAACCTGCCAGAATCTGCCTGTCCCCCCCCCCGTAACAACCGGAACGACTTCAGTGGACATTTGTGGGGCTGACTCGCCCAGCCCATACAAGTAAAACTGAGGAATTCCGAGAAACGGTACTAGCGTGGCGAAAGTTAATGATGGCACCATGAAATTTCCACGACCTCTCTAACCCAAAGAAAAAAACGTCTTTCTGTAAAGTTGACCATGAAATTAGTGCGATTTTTTGATATTCATTTTAACAGCTGTGTCGAATAATTCTTAATAAGTTGCTTTGAGCTTGTATATTATGTTGAAGCTTGTTTTGCGCTATATCGAGCAATAGTGATAGTTTAGGTCAAAAACACGTTCTTATATCATTATGGAACACATAATGCAACATGGATGGGAGACAAATTCACACAATTTTCTTGAACGGATTTAAACTTGGTCGAAAGGCAGCGGAAACAGCCCGTGATAACAACAGTGAATTGGGTGCTGGAACCACTAATAACCGTACTATAATAATGGCGGTTTTAAAAATTTCGAGGTTACGATAAGCTTGGGGAAGAAGAGCGTTGTGGACGGTCATTAGAAGCCAATAAAGATCATTTAAGGGCTTTGGTATTTCGAGTAGACCTCTGAAGTACGAAAACACATCTGTTAACTAGGATAAGCGTTATTGTAAATGGAATAAAGCTACTTCATCAGTTGAGAAGTCAGTTGCGGATACAATTAACATCACCGATAAATTCTAGTGATAAACCCCATGGGAAAAGTTGACGGTGTATGCGAATGGAAGAGCACCAGGGCGGCCGAAGCATGTCACTAGTTCGAGTTCGGACCGTGTCCAATAACGAAACCGGTGGCATCACATGAAGTAAAAGGAGTAGTACCGGTTTAGTAATAAAAGCACTGTGGTAGGCTGACATCATCAATGACTAAAGTCCTTGAGGTTTAACAACGAACATCCGTAAGATAACTCAGATTGACAGCCAAATCAGTACACAGAACAAGTGCACGGAGAACAAAAGACTACTTTAAAGCACTCCATCAGCACATACATAAGTAACAGGAAACGAGAAAGAGCCACGCTCCGATAAACGGCTGGAGAGTGGAACCTCGTTGAGAAATCAGTCTCTTTATGCATCAAATCTACATGAGCAGTAAATGCTTACATTCAAGTGCTGTAGGTGAAATAGCGAGAACAGCAAAACAACGAAAGCTGAAGGAAGGTCAGATAGCGTTACGCATACTGTGTACAAAACAGAAAGGATAATGGAATGGTTGTGGTAGACGCAGAGGTCTTGCCAGCATCCATAACGGCATCCGAGTGTTTAAGACTGTTCAAAGGAAAGATCTAACTAAAATGACCAAACAGGAACTGATTACTTGTAGATACGGAAATGCGAGAACGGGAGGCTGCAAAATGCGTTCTTTGGTAACAGGATTAAAAAATGAGACGGAGGCTCAAAGACAAAAAGATTGGCGGGACGTAAACAAGCCGCTCTTGTGTTACATACCGAGAGTGCTCAACTCGTAGCAAAGTTCGTTCTTCATGCCACTTTTTCCAGCCTTCTTCATCTAATCTCTGAAGGCTTTTGCTTGCCTGACGCCAATGTGGAGGAGTCGTGCTGCGGTCATGGCTGCTCGACCCGGAATCTGGACTGCGGTAACACTAAAAAGTGAGAATATAAGCCAGTTGGCCCTAAACATCAACGGCACCTAGATCGAAGGCTTTAGTGAGAGTTGGACATGGAGAATCTTACCGAACGACAAATGATTCAATGATCAAGGCTCGTTACTGTCTAACAGTTTGAGTAGGAATAAGTGGGAAGTCTTAAAGCGGTGACCGGAATGAAGAGCACTTTGGGGTGAAAGTGTCGCTAGAACAGTGGGTATGCCTCATGAAGGTGACGTGATAAAATCTTTGAATTTAATGTTCCGATAACAAACCAATGAGGCACTTGCTCATCTGCAAATACGAGGCGCCATGTAGTCTAACTCACATATTTAAGTCCCGATACAGTCTTAAAGCAATGAAAATGGGGAGAGTCTTGGAAAAGCGGAGTAAATTAACGACCGGGTTAAAATTGAGCAGCATCAGTCAATAGCTAGATTTCTCAGTGCAACCCAATATTACCGGCCAGGCAATGAAGTGTTTACATCAGATGACCGCAGTGCGAAACTCAAAACACGAATAAAACGACTGCGTAGTGGACTCAAAAGAAACGACTCGAGCAGGAGACGTTAGTATACCCCTGATAAGATACGCAACTAGCCTACATCGATAGGAATACCCCAAAGCTACCTAGATAATGAGGTTAAACCTGAATGCACCGAGTGAATAATTCCAAATTAAATCCAGTCGGCGGATACGTAAGTATGACAGTGGTAAGAATCAATACAGTGGGCCTAGACTGTGAAGGTTAGTTACATAAGGATAATTACAAAATTAGGACCGTAAAGGAATAACAGAAAAGTGTTGACAAAAAACGAGGAGTCGGATGTCAACGCAAGCCCGCTGGACACATTACAAACGGTACGAACAAAATAATCTGCACCCGTGAAACAAATCCGGACCATCTTTTTAAACTCATCTGCCTCGATTTTCAGTGAACCGTGTAACGTGAGGGGAACAAAAACAAGACAATAGGAGAGGTCACAGCCGAAAGCAGAACACGGGAATCTGCGTACACCGCGCATGCTGACTAATGACGGGGCATCTCAGAGAGAAAACCAAAAGATACGCCCAATTATTGGCGCTGGCCTTTAGTTGGCTAGACCGCGATACGTTTCACAGGAAAACCCTGAGCTAAAGACTTACTTCGTACCAATAGCTGGATGCCTTCAACTTGAAACGAATTGTGATGCATCCGGTTAATTCTTTCGTTTTGTTCTACTTTTGCATAGTGACCTGGTATCCAGTCAAACAGAATACACGTAAACCGAGAGGTGAAATCAAGAAAAGCTCGTAACTCTCACTAGACTGACCAACTTAAGAAACCGTCTAACTCCAAGTGGAGAAAAGACGACTACCATATTGGGTTTCCCAACAGGGGATGGACAGACCACAGGAACTTGCGCAAGAGTTGGAAAAAGTAGGAACACGATCTGCTAAGTTTCAGTGTCCCTGAAGCTTGATGAAGGTGCAGGATCGAAACATAGGTTAACAATCTACAAAATGTTTTTTATTATAGCGCCTAATGTTGAATCGGAAAAGTGGTAGGAAATAAGATGGCAACAGACAAGCTATACATGGATCCAATAAGCAAAGTACTTTATGAGGCGATCGGGAACGCGCTATACGATAATGATGAATGAAGTCATAGCGAAATAAGCGGCTAGTATTCGACTCACCGCGTGGTATAAGAACATACCGCTTCCTGGTAATCATTTGTCACGAGTTAATGGAAAATTTAAGTGTAATGATAGAGCGCACCGGTGAGACAAACGAATTCACCAAAAACTAAACAAGTGAATAAAAACGTGTTTGCGGAGACAAAATGGCATCAGCACTAGGCCGGTAAGCATTACCGACGCTTCGGTGCCGCGTAACCACCGCGTCGCGCGTGGTTAAGAGATAGTGCGAAGGTCGCCTGCTCGAACCCGCGCCTTCGGATTAGTAGGCAGGCTTGTGATCCTTAAGGCTGTGAGAAATTGTGGAAGCAAATAACCAACGAACAACAAGAAGCACAAAACAAAACATCAGGATTAAAAATGGACACTAACAAAGGTTAGAGAACTGCAGCTAACACATATATGGAACGCAGGTGCTCCCCAATAAGCTCCTTAGATAGAATCAGAAGGTTAAAAACAAACACCCAGCTGACAATGCCTATGTAAATGAACACGGCGCAAACTCAGGCTGAACGGCTGGTTGCCCTATACAGATGTGTGCGTAAAGATTGAGTAAAGCAGCTATATACCATGGTTGCAGCAGATATGTGAGTGCCAACAGCTACTACACTAGTCGATCATATACTTGAGCAGCAAATCAAACAATGTAATGAGGTCGCAAGTGGGTTAAGGATACTGCGAGTGTCGCCCTGCACTACGCAGGCTCGAACCCGCGCCGTCAGATTACAAAACAAGCTCGTTACCTATAGGCTACGGGCAATTCAGCCGACACGGTGGGAAGTGGCACGTAAGTGTTTAATCCAAAGTGTGAGCGCTTTTATCCTCAATTGTCTGCAAACGCAATAATTTCCCTTGATCCCGCTCTCTTCCGTGGGCTGAGATGTAAACTTACAGAAGTGTCAGCAAGGAGATATTGACGCATTGCCGAGCATGAGGATAGGGAGCTCATTCCATCAATGGAAGGAGGTGTAAATTACCACACAGTGCTGAAGTAGTGGTATGGGATATGATGAGAAGGAGTATCCAAATACAGTAAACTCAATGTTGCAGATCTGGCCAATGAAATCCGGTTCTAAATTGGACTGACGAGACCGCAAGTCGGTGTACCCGTGGGCGCGGTGGTGAAAATTCGAGTTTAGCAATCGCAAGGTACGTGTAAATCGTTTTATTTTGTTCTACGAGCATGGCAATTTTAGTCGAACGATCTTTCAGTATGTAGAGAACTCAGCAGATAGTAGCAGCTTCGTAAGAATTTGGGTGAAGTCCAAAAGCGGGGCGAAGTAGTTACTGGAAAACAAATCAGCCACACGAGTATGCGAAGCTAGTAACCATAAATGTTCCTTTGGCAATAATAATGGTTCGTCTGTTCATGTGCTCGCCAAGCTTGGTAATCAGGTTCCAGTAGCAAACACCTCGTCTGGTGATAAAACATTTGCAGTCTCAGTGCCAAGCTCGGCGAGTACATGAACAACTGAATCGTCAACATAAACTACGTGTTTAGAGCAAATGAACGTGCGTGCATAACAGCCTTTTCAACAAAAAATGAAAGCTGTTGCACTGAAATACGAATTAGATAGTGCCGAGATGGTGAGGTGCGCTGGTCAACGGGGAGTTAGTTTCGGTTTGGTTCACCAACTACAAATTGGGCGCAAGTGCGCAAATCAATCAACGCTCTTGTAGAAGATAATAAATTGATGTAATAATCGGTGAAAAGGGTAAACGGAATCAGCGACACTGAGTATCTCGTACATAATTGCATTCTCAAACATCAATGGAGCATATGCAAACTGTCGTCAGGAAAAATGGAATGCGTCAGCCTTGAACAGTTTCGTCACCGATTTCAGCGTTTGTGTCCGCTACAAAAAACCCAATGTCGATGGACCACATATACCGAGGTTAGCAGTTGATATGAATGTGGGAAAGCTGATTCGGCTATCGTAAGCGGGGGTGAGCCGAAAATGGATGTTCCGTCAGACAGAATATGTGAGCTTTCGTGATGGCCTTATAGGATATGAGGGATGCATTGCAGGCGCACGTGGTCGAATTCAATCATCCCACTTATTTCAACATGCAGTGACCATACAGTAATATCGGGCCCACCTCGGCAAAGCGGTCCTTACCTTCAACCAGAGAGATGTCTTCATATTTAACGGGGTCTTTGAAGGCAGGGTCTCTCAAATGTTAAGCAATCCGAGCAGTGACTCGACCGTCACAGGCAATAGGGCTACCTAAATAAGAAAACTAGGTTTGCCGTTACCTTGTCGTGAGGACCCGTGGTGCATCCAGCCAGAAGGGTAACAGATAGGAGCACGAAACGTTGTTAGGTATATATTTGAGATAAGTATTGTACTGCGGAGACTTAGTGGGGGCAAAAGACAGCTGATTGGAGTAAACATGGGGAAATGGAGGAACAAACTACTCGGTCTAACCACTATAGTTAATCGCACATCGTTACGTCGTGATAGCGCTAAGCTATTGTATAGCCTCAAAGGGTAAGGGTGGTTCTATTGGAAAATAAACACACAGTAAGGAAATGTTTAAGCTCAGGATGATTGTACAACGTAAACATTATACGGTCGCAAACAGGTAAAACTGTTCAGCAACTGGAACGACTTTCGCTGGCATCAAAAAGTCATCATCGTTACACCAACCACTGTGCTGAAACACATAAAGATACGACATCCCAAAAAGCAAAATACTGAAAATTATAGAATAAATAAAAAACAGGCAAAACACAAGCTAGCAAAATGTTATGCGCCAGGAGAGAAATGGTGGTTGGAGAAGCGGGATGGAGAGGGGCAAAGAAACACACAATACAAACGCCACTGCAGTCGGCTCCCTGTCATGTCAACTAGTGTATCCAACCACGTGTTCATCGTCCTTTGGACCCCAGCAAGGCAATCAGGACACCCCAACCGACGCCAACTTCGAAGTGAGGGATTTCATTATTCTTGATAACGGCATCGCTTGGCCTCCTCTCCTCTTCTTCCACCCATACCCCAGACGAGTAAACAACGTACGACGCGAGAGTCCGTGAGCTGGTATGCACAACGCGTGGTCCAGCCATTGGAGCTGAGCGGTCCACTTGTTTTGCCCGTACCAAATATACGATACCGAGCACAAGACGCAGATTAGCATACGTTGGAGAGGCCGACAGAGTCGAAGAGATCGGATGCACATTGTTACAGATTCGCCAACAGGCAGCACTTAACCAAACACCAGAGGCCCTATCCAGCGATATCTGCTGCATAACGGAAACCCACCTGCAAGATTCGAGCTCCGTACTTATCGTGCAACCCAAACACGCGACACCGACGG